TTAGAGGAAAGCAATTAAGAATTTGACGTTAAAATAAAATATATAATGTGATTTGTTATTTCAATCATATTATTCAACTATTTATAATGGCTTATTTATAAATTTTCAACAAAAAGTAATTTTTATAATCATTAAGTAAAATGCACTAAGTAAAATACATATTTATAAAATACGGTATCCATAAGGTAAACCTCATATGCAAAATGCAGGGGTGGACAAAATGTCTAGATCAAACCAAACTAATTCGAGCGGTTCAGTTTAGTTCAATTCGATTCTAACAAAAACAAATTATGATTTTTGTTCTTTGAATCGAGAACCATTTAGTTATGATTCTGTTTCGATTCTTGTTCTAGAACTGAGAATCGAAACCAAACTTAATGTTAATTTATTTTATATATATATTAATTAGTGGAGACCCTAATTGTGTATTCATTAGAGACAATCCATTAATTGAATACAACACATTAATCAGTTTTGGATCATTAGAAATATGTTATTAATTATGTACACTCTGATTTTGTATACATTTTAATCATTTCTTCTTCACTCCTTTTCAATTTATAAAACGTCGCAGCACGCTGACACCACACTTTATCACGTCAGTGAAACTCTCTTAAAATTAAGAGCTTGTTTGAGAGAGATTTTAATCCAATTAAAATTGAAAATATAAGCGTTCTTGGGTCTCATTTGTCTAATAAAAATTAACAATAACGGCTAGTTTTTCAATTTTAATATCTACCAAACAAGCTCTAAATTGGTCAGCCACTTAAAAAGTCTTTAAACTATTTTTTACCTTAATTGTTTGATGAATTATTTGTATTCTTCACAAATAGAGGAAAATCCAATAAAACATTCATGGAGTATTAAACAGTTAATGATTGTCTGTAAAAATGGATTGTATAAGTTTTGCATAATTCATCGCTTATTGTGGAGGTATGCCATCAAAACTGTTGCAATTAATTTAATGAATCATTTCTATTATATATTAAACAATCTTTTGTATGCGAATGAAAATTGATTTGTGTATTCATATTATGACTATATTTTGTTTGTTAATTTGATCTTTCGTGATTTTGATGATTGATATATTACTTATTTTGTCTTATAGTTTTTAAAAACTACTTTTTAGGTTAGGGTGTATGGGTAAAAGAACGGGAAAATCTACAATAAAGAAATGTATTGAAAATAATATATAAATCAAATTAATAAAAACTTTTATCAGAATTGGCAATCAAGTTCTCTTGTTCCATTGATAAGATCAAAACATGCATTCTATGGAACTGACAATAGAAAATGCAGTCTGTGTGATCAGTTTTCCTTTTTATGCGTCTCTCTCTCTCTCTCTCTCACACACACACACACACACAAACCAGAAATGCATGCAAATGATATCAAAATACATTGAGAAA